ATTCATCCTAGATACGGACGCCAGTGACATTGGTATCGGAGCTGTCCTGTCTCAAAAAGATGCAGATGGAGCAGCAAAGGTCGTGGCTTATGCAGGTCGCACACCCAACATAGGTGAAAAGAATTACTCCACCATGCGGAAAGAAATGCTGGCATTGGCCAACACTGTTAAACGTTTTATGGCATATCTCCTTGGGGGAAATTTCGTGGAGAGGACTTATCACAAAATCCTTAGCCGGCTGCACAACTCCAAAGGAACTGAGCGTCAGATTGATAGATGGCAAGAACACCTGCAAGAGTTTGAATTCGAATGCAAGCATAGGCCTGGAAAAACCTGGGAAATGTAGATGCATTGTCAAGAAAAACTCCTAGGTATCATATCGACTGCCCATCATGCACCGAAGCTCAAGTATCCTCGCCCCAACTATAGGCAAATAATTCATATACCTAGTCCGAACACTAGTCTCCACACCCTGAACTGGCTCTGATCTATGGTCGTGTTCGAAGTGGAGGCGAACGACCCAGGGAATGCGACGCTTGGATAGGAAACTCAGCCTTTGTGGTCTCTGTGGGACAATTTGAAAATTCTCGAAGACTTACAATGCTACTAACATGGGTCCATTTATACTCTCCGTAATGTGGTCCCATAATTAGCACTACCTATGGTACTGCTTTCATTACACTAGCAGTTAGGCCACTCGGGCTCGAGTAAAATGACAGAGGCGACCAAAAGACGCTATTGATAGCCTCATAAGAGAAGGGATGTTGTGGATTTCTGTGACTTCTGCGAGGTGTGCCAAACTGTGAATACATCACTCAAATATAATAGAGCACCACTAGAACCTATTATTAATGGTCATCCAAATGACCTAGTGCAAACATATCCAGCTGGGCCTCTCCCAGTAACTAAGTATTAGTCATGGCAGACTATTCTACAAAATGGTGTGAGGCTAACGCTGTTCCCCAAATTGATTCTGTAACCATCGTGAAATCAATATCCAACCAGTGGGTCAGCCGCTGGAGGGGGAAACCACTCCATTCATACTCAGGTCAAGGATCCAACTTTGGAAATACTGCTGGCAGAGAACTATTTCGCATAACAGGTATCCGGAAAACATGCACTACTGCATACCACCTACAAGGAAAGGTGTGGTTGAACGCACCAGTTGGACACTTAAATCACTCCTGTAGGCATTTGTAGACCAAAACAATCCTAGGGAATGGGACAGATTTCTCGCGCAGTGCTTAATGGCGTACAGAGTAAGCATTCACAAGGTTACTCATCAAAAGTCCCATTATATGATTACTGAGAGAGAGCTCCGGTTGCCAGTCGATCTGAAATCAAGCACCTTATTAAGAGATAAACTGATGACTTCAGAACAACTAATGAGACTGAGACGGAAGCTGGCCAAGGTACACCAGATGACTAAGTATACACTCTAAAACATCAGAGGTACAGGAAAGAATGCCATGATAGGAAAACACAAAATCACCTGTGGAACTGGCATATCACCTAACGTTACTAAATAAAGCAACGCCTAAAGAGAGGTGTGTCAGATTCCATAAGCGTTGGAAATTATCATTTACGGCAGTGAAGGTACTAGATGACTGCACCTGTGGGATTCAGGAACCCAAGTCAGATTAAATCCTGGTCACTAGTGAAGCCGCAAGTTGTATCATTAACCTGACCAAGGGCACTGTGATAATTGGGGTTATTTATGGAAGTCCTACCAGCCAAGCTGACGACTTAGTACTAAATCACCTCAGGACATGGAGTAGTAGCAGTAGATGTCTAACGTTAAGTGATTTTGATGCCCCACATACTAATTAGGAGGAATTAACATCAACTAGCTTGTGCACTTGTTTCAACAGGGAACTCATAGTGACAGTGCCTGAATGCGCACTTGTGCAGCATATCGATTCACCAATACGATACGACCCTGAACATGATCTGTCCCCTCTACACTTAGTGCTAACACAACATAAGGAGGATGTCGGTGACACTAGGTGCCTGGTGTCGCTAGGCAGTGGTGACCACATAGTTATCACTTTTACGTCTAAGGATTCACACTGTCATACATAGGTCAACAGCTGCTCGTCCAAACATTCGGAAAGCGAGTATACCTGCCATCCGAAATGCAGCATCCCTGGCTGACTGGTCTGTTGATACACACCAGACTGTCGAGAAAACTTGGATAGGATTTAGGAATACAGTAGGTTACGTCACTGCACTCTTTGCACCTTGGATCTATGACTCGAAAACTATCGCATAAACCACCTTGGATAAGTAACGAAATAGGGAGGTTATTAAGAAAACGGAAGAACTTGTGGAACCGTTTTAGTGTGACTGGGAGGGATCAGTTGCGGATGGAATACTGAAAAATTCGAAACTCTTGTAAGTGTATAATTGGCAAAAGTGGTATAGAGCATGAGAAACAGTTAGCGCCGGAATGTGTGTATTATCCAAAAAGTCCATTCTCGTATATCAGACGCAGGATTAAAACTAGCAGTGGTATACCGTCACTCATAAGCATTAATGGAGATACGGCTGAGCCAGACGAAACAAAACCTGAAGAGCTCTCGGAATACTTTGGCGATGTCATTGTGCCTAATTGTACCGTTCATGGGTATAGCGAGGTCACTGCTGTAGCTACCTACATGTCCATAATTTTGGTAGAGGATGCAAGTATTCAAATTACTGTCTAAAGTGAAGCCAGGCAAATCACCTGGACTTAACGCACTCCAACCTGGACTGCCAATCTCCTCGACGGATATAATAAACATTCCAATTACGGTGATATTTCAAATGTCTCTGACCCAGACTAGGCTACCCAGAAACTGGAAAGATGCTTTTATAAACCCCATCTTTAAAGAGGGGAACAGGCAGTTAGTATCTGACTGCCGACATGTAAGTCTGACGTACATTATAGCAAAGGTATTGAAAACGCTCATGAGGGATCAAATCTTACCTCATTTGGAGAAACATGGCTTACTGGAAGTGGGACAGCATTGATTCCCACCAGAACGATGGTGCCTGACACACGTGCTGTTAGCTAGGGAAGATTGGGGGGATACAGAACTGCCAGATGTTAGGGAACGAAAGGACTTAGCAATTATTGTTAGCCATGACTTAAAAACAAAGGCAAACTGTAATCGAGCAATAGCTACTGCCTTTCGAATGTAATGGGCACTTCGAAGGACTTTCAAACGATTAGACGAGGGCATGTTCCAACTACTGTATGCAACATATGTCAGGCCTCATCTAGAATAATGCATACAAGTGGTGTATCCATGCTTCATAGAGGAAGTACATATCCTGGAAAAAGTACAGAGGGTAGGAACAAAATTAGTTATTGGTATCTCGCACATTCTATAGTGGACTAAACGACTAAGTATGTTCATACGCGTAACTAAAAGCAACGGAACAAATACTAATATGTATGTACATATAAGGTATTCAGTCCACTTAAGGTAACATACAAAAAGTGTATTTATTTGAAAAACTATAATAGTCCCAAAATACTCAAAATATTGACGCACATGTTTACATACTTTATCTCCCTGCTGAGCGTAATCTTCCATATACCTCCTGGTCGAGGTCGAACAACCCAACATCTAAACTGAAATGACCATTTATGTAAATTCAAACTCAAATTCCATGAACGATCCGATGCAACCACTTGAAAACGCTGGCTAACATTCTGTACAAGGATTATTCTTGATCTGATATAAAGAAACAACTGGTTTTCAAGTAGTTTTCAATGTATTACTCAACTTACATGTACAGTCTGCCATGCTGACGCAAATGGCGCAAATGGATAGTTCTAGAATTGACCCCATTTGATGCGGTAAAACAATTTAACATTACCTTATCTAATTTTCGTATCAAAGATCAAATTTCTTTCCTATTATAAAACTACGATAAGACTGCTGACAAAAATGGAATAAATACATTATTGAATCAAAATAATACATCAATAAACTTTATCTCACGGATGCTGTCCACAACAAAGTTATATAGGAGAATTGACTTCAAGGTTTATTTTTCCCAGATATTTGTATCACATTCATCTGAAGTCTGGGTTTTTTGTTAATGCGAAGACAATATTTCTATATCTCTTTATGTGTTACACAGACAGACTATTTTGCAGACTGTTCTGACTGACTCTAATGTTAGATTGAACAAACAAACTGTAATTTATATAATAACTTAACCATGCCTGTACAATTGGTATGTTCCTGCATAAACAGGAATAAATATATATATATATATATACAAACTGATAGGGATGAAATTGTCCTTTTCTTGAGTATGCAAATCCTCAACTACACACTACAGATGCCGACTGCTTGAGAGCACTTGCGTAGAGAAAAGTAGATTGGAGCGAAGTATCCTAATGTGGATATGTCACTCCGTACGAGGCAGAGTTGGTTGACAGACAGGATATGCGAGAAGCTGGACAGAAGGAAGCTTCGTCCGTGTTGCCCACGGAAACCAGGTTGTGTCCCTGTTCAGTCTCACTTAACAACCACGAATTTCTTTGAATTCCTTATTTTAACTATTTTTCGGTGAACGTTTAATTCGATGTTTCTCGGCCACCACACTTCCTTATGATATGAGGATGATACATTTAAATCTCTTCCCATTATCATACCGAAGGAGGAGAGGCGACTTAATTTTGGCATACCGTTTATTAAAGGGTGATTTAGGGATTGACGTTTCAAATCTTTTCTCCCCCTCTAGGATACATTCATGAGGTCACTAAAAAAGTGTTCAAACCGAGGTTGAGTAAAATTCGTGTGGAATTTAGATTCTCTCACAGAGTGGTCAACGACTGGAATTCCTTACCTGATTCTATAGTAGCATCCCCATCAGTGAACGTTTTCAAAGGGAAAGTAGATATTTTCATATATACATATATATAGCAAGGATTCACATAGGCAGCAAGAGCCCCTTTTCCTTAAAAGTTGAATCTGGTTGGTCAGTTCGTCATTTGAGTAGCGGTAGTTTCAAACTCCGTGTTACCGTTTGTCGACCTCAGCGTTTTTTAGATTCAGATTATAAGGACAGAAGGTTCTTGTTGCCTATATTAATCCGGAATATATATATCACTACAGAGGAACATTTTGTCCGGTTGGCTCTATAACTGACAAAACATACTATAGGAGCCCAGGAGAAAAAAGATATGTCAGTGGATTTATTTGCTGAATTCAGTTAATTCATTCTATGCCCAAGTCTAAGGACTTGACTTACATTATTAATGGCTCACCCGAAATTTCGAAGACGTGATAACCTTATGCATTTTCAGGCATCGCCTGACAATTAATTGTCAGGCGATGCCTGAAAATGCATGCCTGAAAATAATTATTTTCAGTGAACTTTAAGATAGTATTAAATACTTATCAGTCAGGTTAATCGTGATGAAAACAACTTGGCTGATGCAGTATATTAGTACCTATATACACACAGACCATATACATAAACATTCAAATGAGAAAGTAAGCATCCAGGATCACAGTATGTAATGTAATGCATGCAGGCTTCCTGTTATTAGTCCAAATACATGAATCTGAATCATCTGAATCTAAAGTCTTCATTCACTTTCAGAATTATTTTTGAGATCAGTTGGAATAAACTGGTTGAGGCCATCAGTATTGGGACATGACAGCAGTGAAATTAAAATATGGTGACAGATTTTACTGATATGGTTTTATTACTAGTAGCCATCTATCTAAGTTAATAATGGATTCGTCGTGACAATAATACCTAATGTTGTTACTATTATACTCATCATGAAGATAAACGCTGTTATTATTGCTGTTAATACTGTTATTATTTGCCATAAAGCCATTATCATTTGTGTTAACATTCCCGTCCAACCTTTGAAGACTACTGCGTTACTTACTATTAAATAATTTAATCATTTCATAATGCTTCCATAGACCTGTTAGATGTCGACCAACAATAAATTCTGAGGTCCCTTAAGTTTAGCTAAAATTACTTAGCTACTCGTATATATTGTTTGTAAAGTGATTACTTGTAAATGCTTATCAAGAAATCATCTGGGAAATTTTTTATTCAAATCACGCGTGTAAACTCAAAGTAATGATGCTTTTCTTGAACCTTTTTAGACTCTTAAAGAAACATAAATGTACTGTGCGCGCGGGTGGAACAGTAACAAAGGACTACTCATCTGAATTATCTGCACAACTGAAATATAATTTTTTGTGTAATAAACACTTTCAATGAATCTGTTTTCCTTCTGTTGTTATGCGATTGTGTTCTGCTGAGACGATAGATAACTGAAAACGCTTTATAATCTAAATACCTTCGGGGTGTGGATTTACTTACTTTATTTGGTAACAACACAATCTTTTGATCAATAAACTCCGAATATCTATTTTTACTTAGTAATTCAAACAAAACCTCATAAACTCTGCAGTTCACTGAAATTAGCTATTAGCTGGGGAAGTAAAGGATTTAAAAGTTGTAGACATCATTAATACCATTGATACAAAGATTAACCAGTTAGGCTGCTAGGAAATGCTAAAAATCCGTTAATTTGTGTACAATTACATCAGACAATATTTTTTAGTCAGAAAGAATGGACATTGCATCCGCCTGTAAACATCAAGTCTTTGCCTTCAAAAAGAGTGAATACTATGTATATACAATTCCTGCATTTTCCTGTGGATTTCCATTAAGGAAATGCCTGTAGAGGAGCTTTGAGACAACAGCAAAGGCAGAGAACAAAAAAGTGAAAATAATTAGCAAAATGAACTAGCCTATCCTTATCATGTCGATGTTCAATTCTTTGGACTACAAAAAATATCACTAAAAGTCGTTATAACGTTTGCCTCTGTGTCACTTTGCATTTTCTAAACGAGATTGTGATTATTTCAACTGTTTGTGAAAATTACGTAATTCGTGGTGATCAAAAAGCTATCTTTTGCTATTTCTGCCTACATCACTGTGATCCATCGACTTTTGGCATCTTACTAGCATGGAAATGTGTAACACAACGAATACTTGACATATTTTTTAAAATTTTTCTCCAGTCTATGTAGTGAGTAGGCATCAATTGACCAAATGACTTCCGGCTGCCTTGATCCTCACCGAGCCTTTGACACAGCTTTGCTGTTTCTCGTATTGACGCACACTGACTTTGCTTTTGATGGCATTCAGCCACAGACACCTCCCAATCTGAGGTTGGTAGATTATGCCATTTTATGTTTAATATAGTGCCTTATTCTAGGTGAATCCTGTGGTTTTAGATTTTACGCGTCACTCTAAGTGCGGTTTGGAGTGTCACGGATTTCTTAAGAGAAATTTACAATCAAGTAGATGCATATGCAAATGATTTTTGATATTTTTAGCTTTTCTGGTTTCTAAAGAAGATTCATGCTGAATTTCACCTAGAATTGTGTACTTTGCTAGTAGCTAATTTTATTCTATGATACCCTAATTACGTATTTCCGTATGAATGTCTGTATTTTCCGTGGGTGTGCATATAATTCATGGGTAATCTGGTTTAATTTACAGATATAATGTCCACCAATACTTTCCAATCCTTTTCCACTTCGAACAAATTTACTGTCGCCCTTTGTGTTTTAAATCAGTGGGCACTTGACTTTACTGGGAATACTCAACGTATTATCAAAAGTATTCAAATTGCCAAACGCTTGCAAGCTAAATATCGAGTTGGTCCAGAACTAGAGATTTCAAGTTATGGATGTGAAGATCACTTCCACGAGCCGGATACATATACCCACTCATGGCAGTCTATTGCAAAGATTTTAGAAGAAATGAAAGCAAACCCTGAAATGCAAGATATTGTTTGCGATATTGGGATGCCGGTTTTACATAAAGGTGTGGCTTACAACTGCAGAATTCTCCTGCTGAATGCAAAGATTTTGCTGATAAGACCAAAACAAGTGCTTGCTGATGAAGGCTTACATAGAGAGACTCGCTGGTTTACTTCATGGCCTCATTACCAATCCATTGTTAACTTTGAGTTACCCGACTTTGTATGTAGAGTAACTCAGGATTTACAGTCGTCTACATTTTTTGGTGATGCAATCTTACGGTTTGCTGGAGATGGCTGTTCGGAGAATGTCCAGGTTGGCTTAGAAACGTGTGAAGAGCTTTGGATAGGAACTCCACCTCATATTCGCATGTTTGCAGCTGGTGTAGATGCAGTCCTTAATGCCAGTGCTAGTCATCATGAACTTCGAAAACTAAATCGAAGAATAGAACTCGTTACGTGTGCAAGCAGAACAAATGGTGGAGGACTTTATGCTTATACAAATCTCAGAGGATGTGACTCAGGAAGGGTATGTTATGATGGCTGCGCGTTAGCTGCTGTTAACGGTCAGCTTATTTATATGAGCGAACAATTTGGATTTGAAGATGTATCAGTTCATCCAATTACTGTCTCCCTTAACTCGATACGATCAAAACGAATTGCTAGCCGTTGTTTTGGACGTGCAGCTGTAGAAAAATCGGTTGCAAAGCTTGATGCTACCGGTACCGCTCACAAGGATTACCCAGTGATTAAGGTGTGGTCTGAGACTTTTTTGAAAATTTAACATCAGTCTTATAAAGCCTTCATTTCGAAATCGAATTTCTGTATGTTAGTTATAGTGATGTAATGTTTACAGACTGAGAGATTCTATTTATACTTCTAACAGACTAAGTAGATGACTAAAGAAGCGTAAAAAGTTGACCAAAAACTAATTTGTGAGAAATGGCAGATTATGATGTGATCAAATGAGAAGGGATTTCTTCATTGACATCTTACAAATTATGATTATTCTTGGAACCAAACTAGATGATAATAAATAAGAATGATAAACTAACCAGGGGGTTTATAATTATATTTCAACATCCAATGAGATAATCCTGTTATTTATGTTCAGCGAATCAAAATGAAATCAATGTAATACCTATGGCTTAATTCTCTTAGTCTTCAAACGCAAACTACAAATTGATCAGTTTAAATCAGTTCCCGTCACTTATGCCTGCGCAATGGGGTAATCCCGGTAGTCGCAATAAACTAGTGCAGATCTTGTGAGTCACACCAAGTGAGATTTAAAATCTTATTTTTTATTCAGTAGTACACAGTAAATTATCTCAAGATGACGAACATCCATAGCACAGTAACTAGCTAGTTGAATTACTTCTGTTAATTATGAAAGCAAACGGGCTCCCGAAAGTTATAAAATCCTTATGAAATTTAATAGTGATTATATAATAGGCAGTTTTCTAGCAAGATTAAACGACAATAGTACTTGTTAATGTTCGCAGAAAAGGTGTTATAATATCTTGGTAAATAATTGAATTTGTCAGTAGATATAAGCAACTTTATCCCTTTTTCTAATACTGTAGATTTTTCCATTCTGTTTCTTGTCCCGTTCATATACTTCGCATCACATATCCTGTGACGTTGCCTGTAGCCTGACGTCCCTATATATATATATATATATATATATATATATATATATATATATATATAATTGTGTAGATTCGCCGTCTCATCCGGATCGAATTACAAATAAGTGAATGATTAAATTCAGCGACCACGTGTTTGCTCATTAAGTAGTTATGAATCTCATTTTTTGTGAGTAAGCTAATAACACTATCCAGTAGTCGAAATGTTAGTAGATGGAAGGCTATTTGAGTAGATAACCAGTTGATCAGAAGATGCCGAGTCAGTGAATTATTTAAACTTTCCAATTTCTTATCCCATTGCTAATGATTGACGGACATAACTGACTGGATAATTTGCATAGTTTCTCTCAACTTTTGAAGTGCCTCTTAGATAAGATTATTGGTAACAACTTATGGGAAACAGTTAACGGCCACAAATTGTCATTACGTCAATTTTAGAGGCCGTGTAAATTTTGCTAAACTGCCAATCGATGATTATTTTTATTGATTATTATTTCTAAAGACGCATTTAAACTACTTTCTGTCTACAGGTTGCTTTCAATCTTTGTCATAGTGATTATTGGTTTGATCAATCCCATGAAATAAAAGTTGATACTCACATACTATCACCTGCTGAAGAGATTGCTTATGGTCCTGCATTATGGTTGTGGGATAATTTACGTCGGAGCAAGTCATCAGGGTTTTTTCTTTGCTTAAGCGGTGGCTTAGATAGTGCTTCAGTTGCATGCATTGTTTTCAGTCTTTGTTATCAAGTTAGTTTTCAAGTTGTTATTTATGGCATATTTTTATCCATCAGTTTACATTTATATACGATTCAGTGTTATCATCCTAAGGACAAATAAATGCCTTCAGCTAGTGGCCTTAATAAGTAACTATCATCCTTCTCCCAAGATTCAGTTCCATATTTTCAGGTACTCCTCTCTGACTATTTTCAACCATCACCTGAACTTACACCTACACAAACAGATAATGTAGATAGAAAAGTTTATTTCTCGAAGTGAATTTAAAACAAGCAACATGTTGATAAAGTATGATTTAATCAGTTCGTCAAATTTCGGTAGAATTCGTCAACTGAATACTCTGTATTCAGTGTTATATATATATATATAAAGTGAGAAATAAGTAAGGTGATAGGTAAGGAGTGGAAGGGATAAGAGAGACTGACAATTAAGTATGTGGTTGGTTGCAGTTCAATCACCCAATCATAATAAACAATTAGTTGTCCGAGAAAGTACATGGAAATATTAAGAATTGTAGAATAAATAATAGTAGTAAAGCGAATCAAAACCGAGGTAAAAGTTATATTTTGATAACGATATTGGCAAAGTTGGTTTTAATCAGGACAATAATAATAATAACAAATGAAATAAAATAGCAATATTAAGGATTAGAGAAGTAAACGACTCTACCATCATAGGTTCAAAGTGACCACCGTCTTCTTTTGTTCACAGGGACTTAATGTATAGTCCGTAATCCCACAAGCCTCTGCAATTGCAAGCATATTTCTGTTTATTTGTCTGTTGATAGCAGTATATAACTGATAGCGTCAGTATCATGTCCGTGCTCTAGAAGATGGTTTATTAGCAAACTCTTTCGTATATTGGCTTCAGCACTTTTTCCAACCATTTGGACATATGTTTGATGATTCGAATATACACCTGCCTTTCAGTACTATCTATGTAATTATTTTCACAAGTTCAGTCAGACTGATATGATCAGTTAAAAGTGTCGGGGATCGACGACAGGTCTTTCTCATATTGTTGAGGAACCCACTTAATGGTATTGGGGTAGATGACCTTTGAAGCTAAGAAGCTCTTATAGCTTCGTCTAGTCTTCGTTTAACTATTTCTTGTACATCGTATCCTTTAAATGACAGACTACCATATGCTGGCTTTTTTAGAACATTTGCGATGGTTTTATTGACTCACATTTTAAAATTCTCGTTGATAAACTACTCAGAAAGTCCATTCTTAGATCAAATATTCTTCAGGGTCTTTATTTCGTTTTCATATGCCTTGACAGACTTTTGCTTTCTGTTTAACAAGGCCTTAACTAGTTTCTTTTTGTATTGGATGAGAACAAAGCTCTTAAAGTGTATGTACTGTCTTATCCACAATGAATTTATAAATATGGATCTTCCTACACTTCCATGAGTCCTCTTCACCAGAGTTGCATCTGGGAATCTAATAATATCATATTCCTCATGTGCTGTTGTATAGTGAAGATTAGGATGATGTGAATTGAGTATCGCCAATAAGTTTTATGCTTCTGATTTACTCTTAGGCAATGAAAATGCCATTTGCATATCGTTTTTACAACTCTCTATCTCAGTTTGTCGACTTCTAGGCCTAACAATAAGAAGTTCGCAAAAGGTAGCCCTAAGTGGATTCCCATTGCAGTACTTTCGACTTGACTCAATAGCTGGCCATAGAATTGAAATTGTTCATCTTTACTGAATAAAAGTAAAAATTTCCTCAACTCTGTCGATAGAACTAGTATATTATTAGCCCCTCTGCAGATAAAATTGGTAGTCTCAACGACTGACATTAGTAAACAGACGAGTAACATAAAAACGGGACAAAATGCTTAGTCGTTACCTTAGGATGATAAACTTCCAGGAATCAGAAACAATGTATGTTCCTATTCTCTTTCATAGAAGCTTCTGTAATTCGCATTGTCACTGACATAATTTGTGATATGGTGGATTTGCAGTTGTGAATATTCGTTGTAGAAACACTCCTGACTTGTTCATTTTCATGCGTTCATATGATTTAGGGAATTCTCACCCTATCGGCTAAATATTTTTGAGCGTATTTTCGTCAGTGGAGGTAACACGTAGCCCAGGACACCGCATTGTAAATTAATTTATTGATTTATTATCGTTTAAAACATACTACTCATAATAAGTGCTGAGAATTCCACATAGTATGGAAAGCATTGTTTGGAGTCAAACTATTAATTTAAAAATAATAATAATAGTAATTATTATTACCATTATTATAGTGTGGTTGGGTGATGCAGACAATGGGTTCCAACGGAATATTATTCTCACATTCAGCACTGCATTAGCAACAGAATACTATATGTATTTGAACATTCTATTTCATGTCGTTTGATATATACCAAAATCACACGCTCAGTATTTTTTGAATATAAACTGTATAGATATAAATAGCTGTTTGATAACTTGAAACTATACCTTGGCTTCCGTGTCTTTCCTTCTACTGTTACAAAAGTATCTATTGTGATGTTGAGAAGCTTGTATTTTGTTCTAAACTTAAATTATACAATGTTACGATAATAAGACACCTTTTATTTGTTAAAAAATTCATGACTTTATGCCTGAATATACCTGGGTTTTATCTTTATTTCTTTATTTAGATTTTCGAAGCTATAATCAGTCAACGTAACTTCACCGTCCTAGAACAGTGTCGTTCCTTACTGAATGAATCAAATGAATATATTCCTCACAGTGCACATGAATTGTGCTCTCGTCTTTTAACAACATGTTATATGTCAACTGAGAATAGTTCTGCGTATACAAGATCACGCGCTAGTCGTTTGGCTCAAGCTATAGGTTCAAAGCATTTAGAAGTAAGAATTTTCCAGTTATTTCTGCTCTTTTACTTTTCTTACACTTCAAATATATACTTCAGTGATATTAAGTAGCTTAAAAGTTTTATGATGATTACCACTAATAATTGATATAAAACGTTGAAAACCATAGTCAACGAAGTCGTTATGTAACTTGTAGCTTCGATCCCCGGTCGGGTCATGGGTATGTACTGATGAAGAGTCCTAGAGCAGGATGAAACAGCTACCCAGTAGTTCCTGGTTCTCAGTGGTTTTCTAACTGAAGTCAGTTCGTGAACAAACTTAGAAACCATTCACACCAACTAGTTGTGGTTACTCATAAGACCAGAGTGAACTAAATACCTGACAGCTGTTTTGTTCGTCATTTGGTGCAGCGTTCTTGAAGGTGTATCCACTTTGATTTCAATTCTCCGGTTCAACTGTAAACACTGGTTTGTGTGAATCGTTTCAAAAAACTTATCAATCAGTCATATACACTATATTCCTTCTACGCTCATTATCACGAGTCTGTTTATAATACTGTTTCTATTGTGTACTTCAATTGTGGCGTTTTCATTATTGTGTTCAATTATATCATCAGTACTAGCTTGAAAAAGAGAAATAGACTGTATAAATATTTTGGAAAACACTAATAAAGTTAAAATAATTTCAAAATTTTAGCCTTGCCATTCACTAATCAGTAAACTTACTCGTACTAATCGTAATTTTCTCATCCAGTTAATCTGTGCCCATTTCTTTGGTTTCTCGATTAACTTTACAGACATAGTTTAAGTTTTCTATTGGAAATTTGTTTTGAATAGAAAAACAGGATGTCTGAGCGAAGAATTATTTTTCCAATTACTGTGATATCCGGTTATCGATCCAAGGATGTGTTTACTTCACAGCAGCCCGTTCTGTGCTTCTTTATAGCTGCGAGACATGTCCATTGAAAGTAATAAGATATGAAAGGCAAGTTGACTTTGACCGCAAAAGTTTGCGTTTCTCCACCCTGTTAAGTGGTATAATATGGTGAGTAATATTAAGGTAAAAAAGGGAAGTTAATCGATCAATTTGTGAAGCTACACCGACTGAAATAGTTAAGACATGTTACACATGAAGAGCCTGATGTGTGCCTACTGTCTAACTTATTAGTCTGTTAAATGAAAACAAACCTCATGTCACATGGTGGGTGTCAACCAATGAGAATTCAGCATTTTAACGCCTACTATTCAAACCTCGTGAATTAACCAATATATGTCATATATTTGTTCTCTCTCTCTCTCTTGCTTTGGAAGTACACGTTTTTAAGCCTACTGTGTGGGGAGTTGGTTTATTGAATATCCCTGCTAATTGTAGCTTCGTATCCCGTTGCCATGGTGGTTTAATGACAAGTTATATTTTTTGTATGCTTTTTAAATGAAATTTTGCACTAAATTTTTTTCTGGCGAACATATTATCAGTGGCATTATATTCTTGAACTGTGTTACATTTGCTGCACTTTTATCAGCAAATGACGCTTGACACTGATATCTGCGCAATGTAGTTGATTGAGTAGAGGCAATGAGTTCAAAAGTAAAACGTATGTTTTTGAATTTTCATGAAATCATGCTGATATATTTTGGCCTGTTTATTTGAAAAGCCCCAGTACCCATCGGATAAAAGTGGAACCACTTCAAAAAGGGATGTGCCTTATAATCACCCCTATGTGAATCTTCTGGAATTTACTAGTTTTGGGTTGGGGAATAATCGACTAGGAAATCGTCAGGCGTTCGTTATCGTCAGTCATCACTGGTATTCGAACTCGGTGACGGGGAAAACTACGGATCCTACAAAATTGGAATTATTATTGGAGTAACAAATGAGATTGGTGAAAATGCTGATCAGTCGTTCTCAGTGGCGTGAAAGCATTCACTCCCTGTGAATTCCCATACCAACTAAACCGTCATGTTTTCCCATGTTGCTATTCTTTCTCCCTTGAATTTCCGCTTATCATGTCTCTTTTCAGCCTGTTTTCTTTCCTTTGCCTACCTTTATTTGATACACGCAGTGTGTCAACTTGAGCTGGTGCACTTCTTTGCAAAATACTATGTTGAAACTTCATCATTATTATTTGATGACTTGTAAAACAGTCTATAGTGAGAATAGAAATCCTGATCTGTGAATTATCTATGCAAGTAACATGCAAAATTGGAGGTTAAACTGCATTGATACTGAAGATAATGAGAGCAGTTACATACATTTATTTTGGTCAAGAATTTTATTGCATAAGTGAATAACCCCGACTGTGAAGGGATTGAGATATGTGTACCCTGTGTGTTAATCATTGCCTTTTTTTCCGTGGACAACAACTAATTTTAGTTTAATCAAGGTATAACGCCTTACCATTAAGTATCTTACAGTTGATCAGAGTCTTACAGATAGTGGAAGTGATGCCTGGAAACTCAGTAAAATAAACGAAATCCTCATTTATTGCGCTATTTAGATTTCTCATTGCTTGGTTTTACTGCAGCGAAATGAACAACAACAACAAATGAAAGACAACTGATACCCGCTGTATAAGAAACGGTTCTTCTGGTTCAGCAGCCTATTGAATAAAGATTTGATGTTTGAAGCGATTAGGGTGGCCTGCTTAAAACTTGGTCTACCAGAAGCTTCCACCTCTCTATTGAACACACTTTCTCTCGTTCGGTTTGTTTTAATCGATTGACAAATGACCTCTAGTGGTATTATCTACTCCTGTGTGTACTTAATATGTTTACAAGCTTCTGAATAACAAGTTCCTACTAAACTTGAGGAATGGCCTGATTGTGGGTGGCGACGTATTCCAGTACATGAGATAACTGTGCTTCAGTTATGTCCGTGGGTGTCAAAATGTCCACCTCACAATTAGCTTTCAACGAGATGTCGCGGATTTCTTGACGGAGACAAAGCAGATATATCATAATGAAATGGTTTGTCCTTCAACTCACGGACCATTGTGTCACAGGATATACTGTTGATTAATATTTTACTTGAAGATATTGTACGAAGCGGAAATATAGTGCAATAAACTCCTCTGAAAATTCTGTACATTTTTATAAATACTGTCCAGAATAAAGATGTTATCATTATTATTAAGGGATATATTTGAGTTTTAGCACGACTTACAGTCACTGAGTGGGAAACAGCTACTTCGTAATAATAAATCCCAGATAGGATAAAATGTGTCTCATGGAAAACATTTCTTGACGTCATCTAGCAGATAATATAGATTATTCACGATGCTGGAAATATATTTGGTCTGTGTCATCTTGTATGTTCCGAAAGTGCTCAGTGATCTTTGCGTAGTTATTCTTTGTTCTTTCATATTCCTTCTTGTTAGTTTTAATATCGTTTTTGCTCTTACTTCTTGTTTACCGAAGTTTAGCAAGCTAAAGTGATGCACGTCTATACCTGTTTGACAGCAATATTTTCCACTTTTTCCAGTAGAAAAGTATGCGAACTACAGAATAGGTTAGGTTGTATGCGATGAACAACTCTGTATGTATTGCTTTCTTGCACTTGTGATAATTAACCTTTAAAAAATCCTGAAGTACAGCAGTCTTTATTGCTTTTACTGAAAACCTACTCAATAAACAATATTCATTGTCGGCAAATTTTGTCATTCATTTTTCGTTGTTTCAGTTGCTTTTGTGGTTCAATGAGCCTTCATTTGTTGTTGACGGAATCTTAGATGTCAGTCTAAGTATAACCTTCAGTGCTGCTTCAATAGGGATTAGCTCCATCAGAATATCTATGGCAACTGCGGCAGTTCCTCACCATGGCATAAACCCTTTCTTCATATAAATTATTAGTTTTTAGTCTGTTTATTGTTTAAAGCTATGACAGCATGGACAATTATGCAAGATTCTATGTTGTTTGGTTTGTCTTCTGGGTGTTATATGTTAATAAGGTGGTCGGCATAGAAGACGTTTTCATGTTATATTTTTTATTAATCATGGTTTCAGCAGATCAACAGATATGTGGCTTTTGATAGGGAACTCTATAAACAATCATAATGCTTATTTCTTTTGTTTTTACTTATATGCATTTCTTTCAGTCGGATATATCACCACTGATAAACGACTTCATTCAAATGGCTTCGAAAACCTTAAATCTTTCCCAACCACCTCGATATACTGTCCATGGTGGTTCAAGCAAGGAAAGTTTAGCTCTTCAGAATATTCAAGCTCGAAGTCGTATGGTTTCAGCTTATCTCTTAGCTCAATTGATACCGTGGCAATCTAACTTACCATCGAGTCTTTTAATTTTAAGCAGTGCAAACTTAGACGAAGGGTTGAGAGGTTATTTAACAAAGTTAGTTCCAATTTCTCCCTTTTTCCCTATTATTATTATCTCAGAATTGAGTGTGCTTGTGTGTGTGTGTAGATGGAAAGTGATCATGGGGGACTACCAATGTATGTATCCTTATGAAAAGTTTATAAAGCCATATAAAGTTTTGTTCATCTTGATCTCGTCGTACCTGCATTTCTATCAACTTTTAAATTTAAGGAATACTAGATGTGTATGGCGTATCTGTTTTTATTAGGAACTTACAGTTTCAATCAAGCCTTTGGGAAATATTTGTTGGATGGAAAGCACGTGACCTGACGTGAATTTTTACATCTGTCGTCACTACTTCCTTTCAAGTCAAGATTATTTTGACAGAAGTAGGTGGTAACTGCATGTATTTCTGGTTTTCCGGCAGTATATTTCCTGTTGTCAGTGCGTCTTTTCGAATAAGTACACGCTGTCAATGTTTTTTTATTTTTTGTGGTGATTCTAAGGTTTGTCACTTGGTAGACCCACATTCAATTCCCGGACGATGCATTCACTAACGTTGCTTAGCCGGTAGTAAGCCTCGTGATGAGGGATGGTTGGGTTCGAGGCTAACAACCCCACTCTGTGTAAACAACACTATCGTTACCGAAATTGAAAGCTGAAGGTCTAAATAATACAGAGTTTTGGATAACCAGGATTATTCACTTGATGACTACAATTTCTCTGGCTGTGAGATGACTCGAATATACTACATTGGTCAGGCCCTCATCTACACAACTGTATAATAATAATAATAATAATTTACTTTATTCCAAAAACAGTACTTATAATACAGAATGGAATTCTCAGCATTTGTCACAATATTGCATCTGATTTACTCAAAGTGTATATAAAATTAAAAATTTAAAACAAAAATTAATTAATCGGAGAAATTTGTCCACATTAACGACATAATTATTAGATATAGTAATGATAATAATAGTAATAATAATAATAAATACCAATAACAGTGAGTTTGTTTCAAACGGTATTGTCGATTTAGTTTGGAAACTTTAGCATGTTATGGATAATTGGGTCTAATGTTCTGTTGATATGGTATAGTGAGGTGAAATACAAAGTTAACAGTCATAATACAGCTTAAAATTATGTCCACAGTTATGAAAAATAAAATAAACAAAACGAAAAAATTGAGAGGATTATAAATATAAGAAATACAATAACAATAAAGTATGATGCTTTAAGGTTAAAGGAAATGGTCTATTTAGTGGTGCTAAGAAGGTTAGTTAGTTCATTTCTGACACTATTTTCATCACATAGAGTACGTGCTAAATATGGTATAGTGGAATTTTTATACTTAGACGTACGTGCATAAATTCTTCTGAAAAGACTTCTTGTTTTACCTGAGGAGACACAAGGTTGGAGCTGCGGGTAGAGTGGGTGCTCAGAGTCTGACAAAATTCCTCTAGCGAATCTGTTGCATGACATCAAATGCCTATCGGTGACAATGCCAACGATATGGCCCAATGGGATACCACTAGTCCTACTGACAGTCCTCAGAGTTCTACGAAGTATGACACAGTCCTTTTTTAGCAATCCAGGAAAGAATAAGGGTGAACAGTAAAGAAGAATAGGTAAAATACACGAGTTGACAAACTGTAAGAGGAGTGGTTGCGTTATGCCTGAGTGCCTTAACTTCTTAATGTAAAAAGTCAGACGAAATATTCTTTGAGAAATCGCTAAGACATGAGAAGACCAAGATAGGTCAGAAGAGAAAACTAATCCAAGATACTTAACTTCAGACTTGCTTTCTATATCGGTATCATCGATTTTGCAAGGGTCATAGGAACCAACGGCTTCATTTAACTTTCGTTTACATCGGAAACTGAAATTAACAGTCTGACATTTGGAAGGATTAAGTTTAAGGCCGTTAGACGAAGACCATTTGCTAATTTCTGATAAAAAGTTGTTAATCTTAATACAGTCAAGTTGAGAGTTAACAGACATTGAAATAGTTAGATCATCGGCATACTTAACAAAGTTCATTTCCTCGGAGTGAGGCAAGTCATGCAAGAAGAAAGAAAACAGAAAAGGGGAAAGGACAGCGCCTTGAGGGACACCAGCCTGAGTAAGCAATGAAGTGGACGACTTTCCCTGATATACAGTGTATTGCTTTCTTTCTGAGAAATAAGAATGGAGCCATTTGACAACCCAACAGTCAGTTTGAGTTTCAGCAAGCTTGTTTAGTAAAATGTCCCTAGGTACTGAGTCGAAGGCAGATGTATAATCTAGAAAGGTGCAGCGAACAAATTTAGCCCCCTTGTCTAAGCTGGAGACAATGTTATGATGCAGGACTGCAGCTGCGTCCAAAGTACTTCTACTATGTTTGTAGGCAAACTGTTTGGGATCATTAAAGGCTTTAAGTGAAGGCTGAAGATTAAGTAAGAGCAACTTTTCCATAGCTTTTAGAAAAGGGGAAGTAATAGCAATGGGTCTGAATTTAAAACATGTCGCAGTAGACGACTTAGGAATAGGTACAATTTTAATGTCCTTCCAAGCGGCTGGCACGACATTTTTGGAAAAAGAATCATTGAATATGTCCTTGAGAGGATAACACAGGATATCTGCACAATGTTTAAGAATAACACTAGGCAAACCATCTGGACCCAGGCTACAAGAAGGGTTCATAGACTGGAGACATTTTAGAACGTCATTTGTAGTAAATCCAGGAAAGCAGGTTTCATTAATATTTGTAACACTAGAAAGTTTGGCATTTGTGGGAGAATGTATGAAGGACTTGTTTATTGTGCAAACATCAAGGGAATAAGGAATACTGTTTATCTGCTTACCACTAGTAATTTCTTTGAAAAGTTTCCATATGTTAGACGCATTTTTACAGGATATGAACTTTTGGTTGTAAATTGAATTCAATCTGTGCATTTCGGACTTTATTAGGATGTTAATTCTTTTCAAACCAGCATTATCCTTCATTTTAATGCATACTGGAACAGAATCAAAGTAAAGGTGATCCATAGAAAGTATTAAACTAATCTATGAAGCTAATAATTGCTAATATGAACACGATAGGGAAGTTGGCATTGGTAAACTATAATTAACCCTCAAATTTTCGATAGCTTATACTGTTTACTTGTGTCTGTCAAACTTCGGTGCAAGTAAATAACTGAAGACTACTTTGTGAGTGTAAATTGATCATAATAATGTAGAAAATTTCACTTTTTCAAACTTTCCCTAAGACATGAGCATCTTATCACTCTTCGTTTACTTTGTCTCTCTTTTTGTCCATTTGAATCCTTCTTGTTCATTCCAAAACGTCATATAGCTTGTATTGATTTTTTCTTTCCGTGTACTTTTATAAATTATAAGGACATAATGTACTTTCTACAAAGGTTTTAGTTGTGACCTTTCTATTTTCTCTACGTATTTTTTTTGCAATTAGTTCACCTTCCAATGAAGAAAATTATGTGATTACCATAAAGTCTATAGCTTATTACAAAACAACAAATAAGTTTTCAAAATAAAGTATGCAAACCATTAGCTTAAATATTTTGTGTAGCATAGTAGTAGCATAGTCGCAACGGAGTAAGATGGGTATTGCAGCATGGACTTTGAAGATTGAAAAGAGTGAAGAGTGGCAGAGCAAAGTATAAAAGTCAGTAGCTCAATCTTTTAGTTTAAGTAGATTTCTTGTGTAGAAATAACTGCTTGATCAGAGCATATCTTGTGATTGGTGATCAGACAATTTACTAAACTATGATAAGACACTGTTTTCTTTCCTAGCAGACGTGTAGTAGATGAAATTCTAATAATAATGATAATAATAATAATTTATATTTCGTATAAACGGGTAAGTTTACAAGAAATGCATGCCATTTTTACAGGCACGATCAGTAATGTTATAAATTACAATCCTGAAGTACCATAAATTAGTACTTTTTCAAAAGTTTGAATTGTTCAGTTATTGTACAAGCAATCAGAACAGGTTCTTATAAATGTTACATTGTAAACGGTTTACTAAGGTCACCATCAAAGTTGAGCGACAACCCAAACTTCGTTCGGTTTCCTGCTGATACTTATGGTCAACCAGTGAACAGCGTATATCTGGGCGAGTGCTATACCGCACATGTGATTGAACGCTATTTCAGGAAGAGAAGAAAATTCTGCGCAGCTGCGAAATGGAATAAAATGAAATTATGAATAATGCATTATTGAAAGTATATTTACAAGATAAATACAAGAAGAAGAAGCTATATAGTACTTGAAATGATAGTATGCATTTGCAATGTTTAATGCTAACCATATTGGTCTAAGCATGGAAACTATCACGTTTCCGATGAAAATATAGCTTTGTCCAAACATTGGTGTTGTTGTGTTTTTAATCAAAGCAACCAGACTTAAAGCAAGCAACAGATATGAACAAAGAGCAAGTTTTAGCTTCAATAAAGGCCTAGGTAATTAAGATCAGATAGAGTATAGTAGTGCGTAAATAAAAAGATTATTGTGAGGTAGATAAGTGATATTTAAGTGAGGAGTGAATTTAAAGATCTGGAAAATTAGAAGCCGTAGAACCAGCTGACCTGTAAGATGCCTCACGAATTTCTGTAGGACCCAATGGGTAGCATCTTGACAAGAAGCTGAACAGGCCTGTAGATGGTAGGAGCAAAAGCACTATGCCTGCAGTTGATTGTATTCCTAAATATCTCCTCTGTAAATAAAGTCATTGTTTCAGGATTTCATCACGAACTGACATCGGTTAGAGGACCATTGGAAAACCTGGGAGTACTGAAAAGCAGTTTCTTCCTAGATTGGGACTTTTCAGCGGTACGCACCAACTGAGGCTCGGACCCAGGATCTTCTGGTTACAAGGCGAGCCCGCAGAGTATTAAGCCACTGGGACCGGACCCAATGGTCCATGAATTCCAACTTCTGCCAATTCATGATATACCGTAACCACTATTGAATGTCATCGGTAAGTATTTGTCCTCACACCCGCCCGACCTGCTGTACCCCACTGGTGGTGACTTCCCGCTAGAACGCAGGTAACTACCTACCTGAATAGGGTCAGTCACTAGTGAGCATCAGATTAATATTCATATGTTGGTTTTCAGGGATTTGATTGGTTTCAGGATTTCATCATGAACCGAAATCCGTTAGAGGACCATTGGAAAACCTGAGAGTACTGGACAGCTGTTTCGTCCTAGTCTGGGACTCTTCAACAGTTCATGTCATTTCATAATGAAATCCTGAGACCAATCAAATTCCTGCAAACCAACACTTGAAATTATTGTTGTATTAGTAGAGTTCACATAAGCTTGTATGCTTCTTGTATGTACGTTTATTTTATAATTATAAGTCACAAATTACTCTAATACTGTGAGCCACTTTTTGTACTCTTGACAGTGAAAAATAATCGAACTGATTTTTTTACAAAAGGTAATAACTGTTTATTCAAAACATTCTACGCAACATTATCACATGAATTAAGGTTTAAAGGGATTTTTTTGAGTATTGATAAGTTAGTAGTACCACATTTTCATAAATTTTCGGATTAACTTCCTAGACGAATACATAAAATTACTTTCATCTAATTTTAAACTAGGTGTGACACAATCATTGACTGGGATGGAGAATAATGTTGAAGCCAAAACGACATTCTTTTTATTCCTTCATGTTCCCAGTGGAACATAGGGCTTCAAGCTACAGGCTTGACGTTTCTGTAGCAGTTTCTATTTTTACATGATGAGGTTGCTAGCCACATGCTCAACCTTTCCTCTTCACCAGCTTTTAGCTCTGGTTTAGCGAGGTAAAGGAGTGCGCCGCCCGGGGATCGAACCCCGGACTATGTGCATGGTCGGCGAGCGTCCTAACCGCTATGCCACCGACGTATTCAGTTAAAACTTAGGGTGTAAAATACATCTCTCGATAATAATTTACTAACCCCTGTTAAGATGTAAATCTCGTCAATTTTTTTGCTTTTTTTCACTGTCGCTAGTTAGTGTTCATTAGTTGTTTCAGGCTTTGCTAGAATTTCGCTAATCACCCATCAAACATTTCACTTATTCTTATCTTCACAAACTTTCGCTTTGTTTTTTTAAAAAGATATGATTGCTCCAGTGCAGATTTAAATCCCATAGGAAGTATTAGCAAGTCAGATCTACGATTATTTATTGAATACTGTGCTCAGACATTATCCATCTGTATGGATCCTAAAAATGGAAGAAATTTTTCGCAAATATTATCAGAGATTCTTTCAGCTCAGCCAACTGCTGAATTAATGCCACTTACATCAAATGGTGAAATAAGCCAAACAGATGAAAATGAAATGGGATTAACCTATGATGAATTATCATTATTTGGTAGACTTAGAAAAATATTCAATTGTGGACCCTATAGCATGCTAGAATCACTTCTAGTCAATAGTGATTGGTTGAAGATTAACCATGTAATACCTGAGAGGTGTTTCGACGAAGATAGAAAGCCTAATGCTGAACTTGGTGCATATCTTAGCGAGAAAGTGAAATTATTCTTTCGTACATATGCTGTCAATCGTCATAAGGCTACTGTTCTACCACCAGCCTACCACACTGAAGCTTATGATGCTGATGATAATCGGTAAGCAGCTCTTTTTTGATCCTCAACTATTTGTAGTAAGTATTAAACATTACATTATTTTATTATTTGTTTCCATGTTGGTGATTCAGTGTTAAAGTAGTCGCCAACCATACATTTGGTCCGTGCTCGATTCTTGACTAACGCACTTCTAAACCCCGCTTAGGCTGGTAATGAGGGAAGGTTGGAGTTAAGGCTGGCGAACTCACCCAGTAAAATCATACTACATCTAGTGAAACTTCAACTCGCAAGATTGACGCCTCTTATATCCCACTCGGGACGCAAAGGAATGAATAAACAGTATTTGATGTTATAATAGATATTTATCAGTCTGCTTAATTCTCCCCTTCAACTAGGGGTTGTACATAATCTTTTTGTATGTATTTCACATCTTCATGTGTAAAAAGATTACATTATTGGTTTGAAGTGACTTATAGTGTAAGTCCGGGTAGCAGCAAATTAATTGTTCGAATGCATTAACGCTGTTTAATATCAGCCGAAAAATAGTCGATGTCAGTACGTTATGTTTATTGGTCTTAAGTGTATACAAATGTTTAGGACTGTGTCAGATTGCAATTTTGAAGATAAGAATGACCGATTGGAGACACTTAATGGCATGAATAAAAATGGTTCACAGTTCTAGCAACATGTTAACCTTTTACTATTTTTGGAATTCTTGAGATTCTCAATTCTAATCATTTCCTTCACGTATATATATTTTTTCTCATTTTAATGTCACTTTCGTTCTTGTTACCTCGTTTCATCACTTTACATTGATGTCTGTAATATAACTTTTTTAAAATTTTATTCCTTTACGTTCCCAGTAAAACATAAGGCTTCAAGCTAGAGCTTTGAACTTCCGGTAGCAGTGGTATTTATTTTTACGGGGTGAGTTGCTAGCCTCATGCCCAACCTTCCCTTTTCACCAATTTTATTACTGGCTTAGTGAGGTAAAGGAGTGCGTCTGCTGGGGATCAAACCCCGAACCATCTGAGTTATTGGTGAGTATTTTATCACTGTGCCACCGACATGATGTCTGTAATCAGATACTTTTAAATAAAAGAAAAATGAATGCTATTCAACAACGTCTGACATACATATGCAGTTAACAATGAGTTACTTATTCTGTTGAAGAAAAGTGGTACGTACTATCCTGCCTGCCCGAACCTCAGTCGTCGGTTCAAGTTTCGGACGCGTGATCCAAACCGATTAGGTTGCCTTCTATTTTCGTTGTGTAATTCTCTGCATTTTTATATTCTCATTAGTGTTTTGTTATGGCCTACATGCATTGACATGAACAAAGAAATATTATGACTGGTTGGAGGGTTTCATCATCAGCTGACATCAGTTAGATGACCACTGGAAAGTCGTGGAGTACTGGATATCTGTTTCGTCCTATTTTGGGACTCTTCCCCAGCTGATATCAGCTCATGATGAAACCCTCCAACTAATTAAACACAATCCTTACAATACCAGTACTTGAAAATATTATGACGTCTGACAGCTATTTATTATTCTTCTAAATGTAAGTGTAGTTAGTAGTTAACTTCAGCTAGTACATATAATTGCATAACCCTTGTTTTTTTCCTTTTACTCCCTACCTTTTAGATTTGATTTTCGACCATATCTGTATCCGTATGACTGGAATCATCAATTTTGTTGTTTAGATAAACTAGTAGCTAAATGGAAACAACAATTTGAGTGATCAGTATTCAGTCCCTTCAGTGTTAAAAATTGATAAAGTTTTATACGTACACTGATATTTTAATAGTTCCTCTGTTTTCGTTAATCAACTTAATACTGATTATTATAATATGAATATTTTTATATTAACCTTGTGTATAGCGCCTTTGCATATTGACGAATAAAGAGGTAGTAAAATATGCCTGTCAATTACTCCTTATTCATAAAATAAGACAAAATAATTTAATCTACAAAATACTTTGCAATGACTGAATTCTACACCATAGGTCAGTCTGGTGGGTTGAAGGTAGTTAGATTATGGCTTGATGACACCTTCAGCATTAAGTTTATTTATGGTAGACTCTGGCTGTTAATGTTCGAATGGAGATTTTTCATGTATTAGAAAGATTCTATTTACGCAAAATAAAGGGTGATACATTTGAAAAGACTTGTATTCCATTAATTAATACTAAAGATTTCTTGTTTACGAATTGTTTGATTACCTTTTTTCATTTAAACAAAGTAAGTACTTAGTTTAGCTCAATTAAAGGTTATATGCCTGTCCTTATATTTTCCTTTTTTCACACTTCTAGACTGAATTGATCGAATTAATTTTAAAAATATTGAATCTTTGACTGAATACCTAGTTGTTGTCTTGACTTCTGACTTAATGCTACTTGTGTGGTGGTCACTGCCGACGAAATTATATATATATATATATATATATATATATATATATATATATTCAAACAGGTACACATCCGAAATGGCTCGGACGCTATTTTGCGTTCCATTCTTGTGATGTTAACATGCACATTCTCTGAGTCTGTGGTTCAGTCATACTACCCAGATATGTGCTGAATTTTTGCCATAGATAAACTTCCCTTTTTTAATTCCATTTCAGTATGCTGCTCATCACAGCACATAACTAGGTCTTCTTGATTTGCGTTATGTTATCGGTTAATTTCCAACTTATCGGGCAATTACTCTTAAGACTACTGACTCCAACGAATCCCGGTGAATTTAAGAGATTTCTTTTCGTAACTTCACTTTATAAGTTGTACAGTTTTTCAAAGGGTTTATATGTACAGTATCCTAGGGCTTCGAATAAACTCGGTAATACTTATCGGTGTGAAATTCTTGATGGCTGATTTACACTGAACCCGTCGTGTCATTTGGTTGATGAAACTCAGGTTGTGTATTTCGTCCAAACTGGGACATGTCAGCTGGGTGTATATGCATCCAGTGAGTGTGTGAATGGCCACTTAGAACTATTATGGTGCTGTTGTTTTTCTCTCCTACATGAATCGTTGTAGGTTCCTGGAGTTTTCTGGGATGCCTTGCCTGAAATAACCTCCTGTTGTTCCGGGCTGTTGCAATGTTTCGGTCCCTGGTTCTCATGCATGTCCTTTGGACAGCTGTCATTTATACCATAAGTTAGACTGGGTTTACAGAGTAAGGTGTGTGCCTTGCCTTAACCACGAGCAATTCTTCCTAAAGCTTTATTGCGACTACATGTACGTTGTTTGATATCTCTGTGTGAATAATCCCCTTTGCTAATTCACGGTGTTTCATTAATTGATAATCCATCCCAGTATTCGGGTGACGGAATGTCAGACAAGGGTTTTCTCATTTTGGCGTATTTGTAGTGCAGACAATATGGCAATCTTGCTATGTACACTTGCCAATAATTGCATCGAACGTTACAATTCCGTAGTCGCTATTACCTCATGGACATTTTTTTACTATTGAATGGTCACTGATTGCGATACACTCCAGTCGTGACAACTTCCAATAAGGGACACTACTGTTGTCATCACGTATATTCTTAGTCCATCCGGTGATTTTGATGGTGTATAGCAGATTTCAATCGGGAGCAAATTGAATAAATCCCTGATTTAGGGTCATGGTTAGGTAGTCAAGCCTGCAACTGTAATTCCTTCGTCATAGCCTGGATTCCCTATCGTCGTGATGGGGCCAAACATTTTCTGGCTTCATTTTACCCCACATGACGGCAGTCGACAGATGCCATCCAATGAATGAATAGGATGGCCAACAGTTTAATGTAAACGTAGTAGTTTCTGAAGTTCAGTCATTAGTGGGACATATGCTTATTTGCACCTTAATTGATTGCTGTTATATATGGTCACTCTACCTCCTTCCTTATGATCTCTGTCCCGCTTAAAAGAATCACATCGCTTTTACCGACTTCATTTTTGAGAATAGCAGAGGTCTTTCATATTTATGTCAGTATTACTATTTTAACTGTCAGGTGAGAGTGTAAGCTCCGGCGTTCATCCATTCTTGCTCTTAGATGCCACACATTACTATACGGGCAGCTGACGAGCTGTCTCACCAGTTCGCGCTGCTGTGAGGTAAATAGCAGAGAAGATTACTGAGTGGTGACTTAGTGTCCAAACCTATTGGTTGAATCAAGTGCCCATCTTTTCCTCAAATATTATGCAGACAACTATAGCTGTACACTTCCGTTATGAACCTAGTGCATGAGGGCGCAATTCACCTTACTTTACTGACTTGAATCTAGTAGAATCGAATGCCTCCTTTCACCCTCTACCAATAATGCAGAAAACTAGTTGATTTCTGTGGAGAGCTGAATTTTATTGCTGGTTAGTTGAGTGATGTGATGTGAGTAGGACGAGAGGCTTCAAACAGAATTTTCCCCAGAACCATTAACCGCTATCTGGGAAGACAGTCACCCACACCATGCGTGTGTCTTTCACAAAGGTTGCCTACTTTCAATTATGGAATGCCATGTACAAATATGTGGATTAGTCTTATTCTTACGTTCGGGGATCTCGCCGTCTCTAGGGCTCCAGAGACTAGGAGAACAACATTCTCAACATGTTTAACCAAACCTGATATATTCATAAATGGTGGTGGCTTACCTTAAAGAGCTACGGCACACTTACAATCTTTAAAGCTTAATAAGTAGGTTGTCAGTCAGTAGTTTGCTGTACAAATCCTTCTAATCAGATAGTCTCTTCCTAATAAGTTGCTGTTGCACACCAGTACGTTGAACAATACCAAGGTGTTAGAACGAATTTCCCCAGTATTAAATCCAGTGCTTAGTTGCCCGTCGTTCGTTTTAAAATATGTATTCTCAGCATGATTCACAGTTTTATCAATCTGTGACACACTGCAAGGGTTAATGCAGCTGTTGGATTCTGTGTTATTGTCAGCTGCTACTCACTCCGTAGCGTCTGTGGGGTTTATACGAATGGGACAAATGTCACGTGCAGCTTTCTAGTGTTTTGGGGATAATTCGATTTACACTTCCAACCCATCTAATGAACTGTATTGGTCTGTGGACAATTTTTGATGACTAACTAGCACAGGGATACCCTTGGTGGTAAGTTTATGGCTGCTGTATTAGAGCGTCTAATGGGCTTTCTGACTAAAGCTACCTCGGAATTCGTTCGAATAGCACAATAGATAGACACGTTAGAAGCAGGTTATTTCGAATAGTGTTATAGTGGCAGTCCACCAGCCGATTGAAAAAATTGTATTCAGATACCTTGTCACTGTTACTTAAACTTATACTGAGTTCATTGTCGGCAATAGTGTGGGTTAGCCAGGTTTCAGTCACAATTATTTTGAGGTGTATGTGTAACTGAACGTGTCTGAGTTTGCCTGTTCCTTCTCTCAGCCTTCTTACATTGCTATATAGGCAGCTGAAAGTGAGTGTCACCACGTCAACGTGTTGTGGGGTAGTTCAAGCCACGTAGGCTGCTGGTGGAGGATTTAATATTGGAACTGGTTGGCCGTTTCAGACGCAACCGGCCTGCAGTCGTTCTTTTCCTTGGAATCAGTTAGGACACTTGGGTGACGCTAGCTGTCATTCTCAGTGCTGCCCCGCTGTAGTATCACTGAAGTGTGGGGGTGTATTGTGGCCTCAGTTTGCTGCCTGCTTAGGTTCCGAGGTCGGCTTTCGCAACATCGGGTATGTACTCCAACTTTACCATTGGTCTCATGTCACCGTTGAAGTACTATAGCCAACTGCTCCTGGGAGCTTAATTCGACAGTTAGTAGCCTTTCAGAGCTAATCAACGTGTGACGAAGTGGTCTGCAAATGAAGATTGTCCCAGAAGCACCGAGGGGCATCTGAGATGACAACTATCACCATTGCCGTGTTTTTCACGAGTAGCGCTAGTTCCCAGCTCCAGAACACCCTTTATGACTGTCGAGGTAGAGAGCATTAGTTCTGTTGACTCACTTGCCTGTAAGCCCATGGCCTGTCAGTTCTTATTCTTGTGTTAGAGCTCCTGCCAATAGCTAGTGCTTGTGCCAGTAGCAATATCCTTTCAGCTTCTTCAGTAGAGCGCAGTGTCGACATTAATAGAATTGGCTTACCTTGGGGTGCCTGAACACTCCTAAACAGTCTGCACAATTTTAATGATTTGATGTCTAGCTCTAATTTATTGCACAAACGAACCACTGTTCCTGATTACACAGAGCCCTTTGTCCAAGCAGGCTGCTGTCACACAGGATAAGGCAGTTCGCTCGATTGATGTCAGGCCAAGGCTTAGTCCTTGACTACTTGCCCTCCTTTGGAGGATAAATACCTTGAGGCCGCATCAGGGTCTGATTAGTCTGTGTCACGTTGCCATACCTGCTCGCGGATGCATGTGTTCCTCTGGCAATCCCGGCTTCCCCTGCTGCTCATACAAGCTTATTTACGGAGGTTTTGTTAGTCGGATGTTCGCTGGGTGCAACTTTAAGTGCCTTCAATTTATGTAGATTAAATTTACAGCAGGTCAAATTACACTTGGGCGGGAGGGGGTGAATCTTGCTATTGGTCGTCCGCCACGTCATGTTGGGAAATCACTCCATGCACGCCACGCAGCGAACCTGAAATCAGACAAGCAAAGAGTCTAAACATAAGAAAACGGCTTGATTTGCCATGCCTTACACTTACACAAACCTATTAACTATCTGACTCCCGGTCATTTAGGATTCGGAACATCTTTGGATCCTTGCCAGTTTCTAGTACAGACTATCTATCTTTCTTATCGCTGTGTATCCCGCCATTTGAATGAGACAGCTTTGTCTCTCTCAAAGGGGAGTAGTTTGGAAACCGGCTAAATGTAGTTTTCAGTATTCGAGGTGTTAAGGCCGTTTCTATACCCTGAACAGAGCTGATTCCTTCGCTCTTTAGCCGTCTGATGTGTTCAAAATGAGAGGTTACAGTAACAACAATAATGACAGATACAATTAATCTGAACAAGTTTGGAAGTGTACTCATTATTACAGTATGGCGTGTCAGTATTAAAAAGAT